TCCAGGTTGATTTGGTGGTTGAAACAGGTCCCAGGAATGTGCATTTTAACTCACATCCCGGGGCGTGTCCCAGGGTGACCACACCTTGAGAAACGCTGCTGTAGCAGGATTTGTTTTTAATCTTTGCTTGCTTGCTTGCTTGCTTCTTTCCAGGGGGAAGCAGGTAACCACCATTAAGAGGAAAAATTTTTTGATTGTTGTTTTAAATAAGGAGACAAGGAAGTCAGCCTACAGCTGAGGAACGTGACGGCTTGGATGCGGGTGGTGATATTTTTGCACATCTCCCAGGAAGGCATATGCTCATTTAGAGACTGTGAGACAGGCGGGAGAATCAGGCCTGAGTTCTCACCCTTCTTGAGTGGGAGCCAGTGTGTCAGGTGGGCCAGGTGAAGTGGAGCTGATTGTGGATAGTGGGGGAAAGATGGGCTGAGGGTAGCCTGGCTTTAGGGAAGTGGACAGAGTCTCTAGAACAAAGCTAATATTTTTAAGTAATTTTTTTTACCATTTAATTAGCTGTGCAACATTGGGCAAGTTACAAAACCCTCTGAGTCTCAGATTCTTCATTTTAAAATTGGAATAAATGCCAACTATGGAGGCAGGCTTGTTGCAGATATTTGGTAATTGTGTAAAGCACCTGGCCCAGTCCATGGTGCTCTATAGACATTTAGTGGCTGAGAAGAGTCGTTACTGAGGGGTGCAAATGGCATCTGAGCACTGATGTTTCCTGAGTGCCTACTAGGTGAAGTTCTGAAGTGCTCTAGAAACCTCTTGATCCTACACACGAAATAGGGTGAGCGTGCCCCCACACACGACCCATTTTGAGGGATAGAAGATCCATAGCTTTCTCAGACTCCTGGAGGATGGGCTGTCATGTGTGGTTGAGAGGTCTGTCTACTGCACACGGGGGCCCAGATGAGGGAGGATGGTGAAGGACTGAAATCCAGCCTTGCAATTTGGCCTAGGGATGGCCCCTTCCAGAGAAGGAGGGGGTGTTTCATAATTCCCACAAAGACACCCTGTGTGTTAGGTTAAGAATTTCTTTTTTTTTTTAAAAGATGACTGTTAAAGGGATCTTAACCCTTGACTTGGTGTTGTCAGCACCATGCTCTCCCAAGTGAGCTAACCGGCCTTCCCTATATAGGGATCCGAACCCGTGGCCTTGGTGTTATCAGCACCGCACTCTCCGAAGTGAACCACGGGCCGGCTCTTAGGTTAAGAATTTCTGAGTTGGAGGAAACCACATTCATCTCCCCCCACTCACCTCTGCTATCTCTGATCTTATTCCTGCTAGGCAGGGTCCCCAGCCCTGTGGGCCTTGGTCGCCTCTGCTTCTCATTCCTATTCCCATGGGAAACAGCTGACAGAACTGAAGGAGATAAGCCATGGGACTAAGGAAGGGAAGGAAGGGATTTAACTTGGAAGGAAACTAATTAGAAGAATAAGTCGGGGAGAGATCTTAATTACTGGGTGGTTACTCACATGGTGTCCTCCTGATGATGGTGGGGCGGCTCACCCAGGAGGCCGATTGTTTCTGCCCCTCCACGGCCATGAAGGGTGACAGAATGCTGGTGCTTTGGCCTCTTAACTGAGGGCTTCAAGGTGGAGAGGTCCAACTTCTGCCTTTGCGATGTATTTTTTTTAATATTTTTATTGTGGTAAAATATACGTACCATAAAATTTACCATCAGTGACATTTATACATTCACAATATTGTGCAACCATCATCACTATCTAGTTCCAGGACATTTTCATCACCCCAAAAGGAAAATCTGTACCATTATCCTTTCTCCTCAGCCCCTGGCAACCACGAATCAATTTCTGTCACTATGATTTTGCCTATTCTGTGCATTTCATATAAATGGAACCTACAATATGTGGCCTTTTGTGTCCAGCTTTTCACTTAGCGAATGTTTTTAAGGTTCGTCCATGTTGTAGCATGTGTCAGCACACCATTTGTTTTTATTTCTGAATCATATTCCACCATGTGGACACACCACATTCTGATTATCCATTCATCCACTGACGAACATTTGGGTTGTTTCCACTTTTGGTCATTATGAATAATGTTGCTATGAACATTTGGATACAGGTCTTTGTTTGAATGCTTGTTTTTGATTTTGGGGGTGTGTACCCAGTTGTTTCCACACTTTTTGACTCCCAACTTGTTTTAGGTCAGCCCACAGGAGGAACTTCTTGCTAAGAGAGGAGAAAAGCAAGGGACTGAGGCTGTCTCAGGAGATGGGATCAGAGTAGTCGGATGGCGGGTAGAGACAGGGACCCCTGGCTGGGAGGACAGGAGGATGGGATGTGGAGATCTCCTTAGCCCACGTTGGCCGAATTAGGAAATAGGCCCTGTTTCTTCCTCTCTTTCGGCACCTATGGGCCCTTCCAGGCTCAGCATCAGGGGTGCCTCTACCACAGGCACCTTCTTAGGGTCCTGCATCAGGAGGACACTCCTCAGAGCAGTTACCGTACCTCCTTGGTCATCCGTGTCCTCACATGCAAACTGGGGCTGCTTCTGACCCAGCAGGATTATTTAGAAGAGTGAATCAGAGTCATTCTGAAGAGAAAAGTACTATGTGACTGGAGAAGGGACAGGTGTCATTACTGCTCTTTTGCAGATGGGACACAGAGGGTCAGAAGGTTCAGTTCAACCCACATAAGGAGTGGTGTCCTCAGTGCCCAGCCTTCTCAACCCAGCGTATTTGTATTAGTCTCCGTCTTAAGGTGTTAACCTCCCCAGCAGGTGTGTGCCTTTTCAGTTGGGTAGTCTTGGAAACTGAAACCTCACAGAAGTGGCTATTGATGGTGACATTTCATACTGCCATGATGAGGTCAGGGTGGAGGTTGGCTGGAGACTGGTGTGCTCTCCCGAACTTCATGTCGCAGTAGTCAGAGACTGTGTGAAGCCCGGTCTCCATTAGCATTTAAATGCCACCCCTCCAAGGGGAACCCCCAAGTACTGAGCATTCCTGGTGTCAGGCACTCTCCTTGGTGCTGGGTTTGTTGTTAATCACTCCGGCATCTTCAACAACTGGACTGACACCATCATCCTCTATTTTATAGATGTGGAGATAGCCTGGTTGAGTTGTTTGCCTGTGGTCACATGGCTACTGTGGCTGAGTTGGGATTTGCACTGGGTGTTTTCACTGTGCTCTGAGGCCCCCTCTCTGCAACCCATTTCTGGCCATGTCAGTTGCTGTCCCTTGCTTAAAACCCTTTACCAACTGCCCATTTCCTCTCAGGTTATTTGGACAGGCACCAATATGGCCTTCCCAAGTTTGACTGAAGGAGATTCTAAAATATATCATTGAAGGAGAGGGTACCTGGCATCTTACCTCTCTGGTTCTCAAATATTCCTCATTCTCAAGCTCCCTGAACCCTTTATGCCTACTGGACTCCTGACTCCACTGGGCAAAACGTGCATCTCCTGTACATGGGAGACTTTACACACGCGCATGCATGCACACGCTCACATGCACACGCATGTGCACACACACTCTCTTTACTCATCATAAGACTGTCTTGCATGTTTTTGGCTATCTTGCAATTCAGGAGAGGCCAGAGCAGTGTGTGAAGGCTCAGGCAACCTTGCTCAGGTGTGTGCTTGTGCTTAGAGGACAGTGCACTGCTTCAGCTCGGCTGCTGTCCACCCCGCCCTCACCAGCGTGTTTAGAAGACAATTCTTCCATACAAAGAGGCACTGCAGGTTAGCAGGTGCAGGAGACAGAGGCATCTGGGGCATAGGAGAGAGCTTTTAATTAAGTCATGAAAATTCATAATGAAACACACACCACAGCTACACAGTGGGCCAAAGGGAGGCCGTGTTTACTTGAAATCCCAGGAGCACCTCAGATTTCCTGGTTCCTGCTGATGGCATGCAGGGCACCACAGGAAGCAGGCACACGTGGTTTGGCAGCCTTCCCAAAGCATGCGAGAGCCTGTGCGCTGTGTCTCTCCTGCTCCCTTTCAGTCTATCATCTTGTCTTCCTAAGCTGTGGTCATCAGTAACCCAAAAAACTGTCTCTGCGGGCACGGCTAGGGGATGCTGAGGACATTTGGGAGCTGATTACCTTTAGTGTTTCTGAAAGGCTCTGGCTTTGCTGAGAAATTCACAGCCACTCTCCTCACTTGGCTAGAATTCTGATTTGTGTCCATTTGCTTTCTTCAAAAGACACAGCAATCGTGTGGGCTAATTTTGACACTCTGTCCTTATTTTTAAAAGTTCTTTAGCTAACAACTTTTATTTTTGTGTTTAGTGGAGAAAATTCAGACGGAACAGATAAGTAAAAAGAAAAGAATATGAATTACCTGTAATCCCACCACCATGGAATCACCACTGTGTTAGCATCTGTGTCTACTCGACATCTGGTTTCTCTGTCATGTATATTTTTGTCTGAACTTTTTAAAGAAAAGTAGTGCTGTGCATGATGAAAAGAGTTAAACGGCACAAAACTGCATACAGTGGAAAGTCACTGTCATTGTGTCTCAGATTGATTCAGACATTTGGCGAGAAGAGCCCCCCCAGCTCTCCGTGGCTTCTCATTATCATCAAATGTTTTACATCTCGCTCTTGCGGTGACTTGAGTTAATTACTTCTGCTCGGTTCACACAGCAGGCCCAGGGCCTCGATTTGGTGGTCCTGTGGATTTGAGGCTTCAGAGTCCACAGCGAGAGCTGCTGGCATGATGGGGCCCCATGAGTGGTTTTCGAGGGGGCTGTGAGAAGAAAGTCTAGCTCCATTAGCTGACCGCATTTCCCCTTGTGCTCTCGGGGAGCTGTCCCTTCTGCAGTGGCTCTGAGCACAAGCTCTCTTCATGCCTCATGTCACTCAGCCTCCAGAATCACACCTGTGCCTCCCGTGACCTCCCCACAGGGAGCCCTGTGAGCCATGTACTCCCCAGCTATTCCAGGGTGACTTTATCAGCCTCAGACTTTCTGGTTTAACAACAGTCACAAAAATGCCAAACATGTGTGACCTTTTCTTTCCTCTCCCACAGAAGCCTGGAATGGTCCCCCCTCCGCCAGGAGAGGAAAGCCAGACCTTCGTCCTTCCACCTGGCTGGCAAAGCTACTTGTCTCCTCAGGGCCGGCGTTACTATGTCAACACGACCACCAATGGTGAGTCCTACTAGGGGTGGCATCCTGTGCCAGCTCCTGGGGTTTCTGTCTCTCTGGAGGGGCGGTTTTCACCTCCCTTTTCCATCTTTCTGTTTTGGGGCTTTTTCTTTATAAATCTCTGCTCAGAGGTTGCAGATGAGTCTTGCTCTCCCCAAAGTGCTGGATGATAGGGGTCGTTAGAGGGAAGGCTGCCCTTCAAGGTTCAGAGCATCCCTGGAAACCCCCATCCACCCTGGTCATCTTTGCTGAACCCAGTCTCACGGTCTGGGGCTGTGTTTTCCAAATGGGATCGCTAAAGGTTCTTTGGTCAACAGCTGGTTTGAATCAAGTTAAACAGGTTAAGCTACTGCATGATTTCTTGGAACTTTGAATATACTCATGATATGGAAGCTCCAAAAGAGGACTTGCAAATGTGGGGTTTCCCTGATTTTAGCACACCGTCGTCTTCTCTTTCTTTAAGTATCTCACTGGCTGGCATTTCTTGGACTGTGCTTTGAGAAATGCTTGGGCTATATAGGAATCATTTATCCCATCAGATAGCACAGGTTCCATGTGCATTTCTTTCTTTTTTTTTTTTTTTAATTTTGACTGGTAAGGGGATCGAAATTCTCGGCACAGTGTGGTCTGCACCATGCTCAGCCAGTGAGCGCACCGGCCATACCTATATAGGATCCGAACCCGTAGCCTCGGTGCTACCAGCGCCGCACTCTCCCGAGTTGAGCCACGGGGCCGGCTTCCATGTGCATTTCTGAGTTGAGTAGGACCTCACCTCAGTGCCCCCAACTGTTATGGGTTTCCTGGGCCTTCCAAACGAGTCCAGGATCCCTGGATGTTGGCTGCAGAGGATTTATAAAAGGAGGCTGCACAGTGTGGTGCACAGTGTGGAACACAGTTGTTCTATAACAGGGTGAGCAGGGCACTGTTGCAGGCTGTGGTCTTGGGAGGAGCAGAGCAAACCACCTAATAGCCGTGTGTCTTAATGTCCATGACTTTGCAAGGAAATTACCATGAAAGAACAAAGAGGATCAAAACAAGGAAAGCTAAATTTGTTAGGAATCAGACATACATGCCAAGGCAGAATGTGAAATTCTACCCAGATTCACCTGTTGGCTCAGCCTGGGCTTCTCACTTCTCATCTGTGCCCACCTGATGTCCTGGCTGCCTCTTCCCACCCTGGGGTCATTATATGGGCTACAATTATGAGCCTACACTAGGCGGGGTCCTGGTGACAGGAGAGTCAGGGGCTGTTTAGAGGGAGACATAAAGAAAGCAGCTGACAGCTGCCACTCCAGGCAGCTGGTTTTATTCATATCCCCTGGCAACCTGACCTTCCACTCACTTGAGAGGGGTGTTCCATTGAAGAGGTAAGAGGAGTTTCTAGGAAAAGGGAAGTAGGGCTATTTTTGACCATTGTAATCTTACGCTTCCTCAAAACAAACACATGAGCAGCTTTGCACTATTATCTGAGACTTCAAGTTTCAAAGGAGAGTGTGTTTATGTGCAGCTCCCCATCTGTAAAATGCAGAATTTGGACCATATGATCCTGAGATCATCAAGAATTTGGATCTGTTCTTGTTCTGAATTAGTCACTCTATTGCAAAGAGGCATGGGACGGGGGGAATGTCTTTCTAAAATCAGCATCTTTGTCTTTTTTTTTTTTTTAGAGAATAGTACATTTCTCAGGGTAAAAAATTCAGTGAGTACAAAAGGGTTTCAAATAAAAAGTAAAAATCCCTAGTCCCATTCCCCATAACTATTTATCATGCATATCTTTTGAGATATCTGTATTCTCTTACCTTCTTAAAAATTGTACTCTTATTCTTTTACAATAAATTGGAAAATACTACCTACATTGCCCTTTAAATTACTTTGGCAGTGTATTGTGGACATCTTTCTCTACTTTGTACATTTCAGTCTAACTCATTTTATAATAGCCAATGCAATAATCTATTGCATGAATATGCTGGCATTAATTTAACTAGTACTCACTAATGTATATTTAAGTCACACTTTACATCAACAGAGAGTGTTTGGCAGCTTTGTTCTGGGTCTCAGACTTTAGTATATGCCACTGGGTCAGAGCTATCTTGTAGGTTCTAGGATATAGTGATTCCCAAGGAGCCTAAGGGCCAGGGGTTGGCAAACTTTTTCTGTAAAGGACCAGGTAGTAAATATTTCAGGTTTTGAGGGTCGTACGGTCTCTGTCACAGCTACTCAGCTCTACTGCTGTAGCATGAAAACAGCTATAGACAATATGTAAACAAATGAATGTAGCCGTGTGCCAATAAAACTTTATTTATAGGCACTGAAATGTGAATTTCAAATAACTTCTACATGTTATACAGTTGTTTAAAACTGTAAAAGACTATCTTAATTCTCTGAGTCTTATGATAATGGGGTAGGGGGTAAAGGGGTAGTCAGTCAGTGTTGGCCCACAGGCCATGGTTTGCAGCTCTAGGTTGTCTGTCGGCTCCAGTAGTACTGGTCCTACTTCCCCTTCCTCTCTCTCTCTTTTATGCTGAGGGTAATTCCAGGTCCTTAGTCTTGCATTCTACATACAAGTCAGTTTTATTCATTAGCTGTTTCATTCACCGTTTATCTGACTGATTGATTGATTGATTGATTGAATCGTTCATTCAATGCATACTTCTTGAGCCTCAAATACATACTAGGTAGAGTGAATGTTGGATGCTGGGGTATAATAAGTAAGAAGTAGCCCCTGTCCTCAAAAGTGCTTATTTAGTAGAAGCAGATGTTAAGTGAATACCTATTTGACTGTAGTCGAAGAAGGATTGTGGAGGAGAGGTCCAGGGTGTGTTAAGAGCATGTCACAGATAGACCCTGGGTGATCAGGGGAGGCTTCCTGGAGGAGGAGGTGCCTTTCAGCTGAGATGAGAAGGGTGAGGAAGGGGTTGGGGATGGGAAATGCCTTCCTGACCACAAAGAGTTAGTCATGTTTGGAGAAATTGTACAGAACTTGAACATCATATTAAGGATTTTGCTCTTTAGTCATGTTTAGGATTTTGCTCTTTAAGGAGTAGGAAGCAGCTGTTTTTCTGAGTCTCCTCTGGAATCCTTTCTAAAACCTGTTTTGTTTAGCTGCTGGGGTGTTTTTAAAATTTTGGAATCTGACTGCCTTTCTGCAAGAAAGTCCCTATCAGAATAGCTGCTCATTCTTTTCATAACTGCACTGATCTTACCTCCAGACTCCTGGAGGCTCTGAGTTTGTGCCTCCTCAGTGCGGGGTCAACTGCACCCACCCTCTTGGGTCTCTGTTGCCCGTGCAGCTCGGGCCAGAACCACATGCTGAAGCTCCTATCCTCCTTCCCTCCCTCTCCAGATGGCGCTTCATCAACATGCCAGGCCCACTGCCCAGGAGGAGCAGTCCATGTTCTAAGCCACCACGGGCCGTTCCTGTCTTCCTCTTTGTCTGCCTTTCTTCCTAGTACTTCCAGTCTTCTTCCCTTAATTCCTAGTCTCTTCCTTCCCAGAGGGCACTTGTGCATAATAGGTGTTCTGTCCCCATTTTTACACCACATACAAATATAACCAGTTGAAAGTCTCATTTACTTGTGTATTACCTTGCTCTGGCTGATCCGCTTATTTTCACATTCATTTAGGATTTTATGGATGGGGATCATCACAGGGCTAGCCACTGTGCTGCACTTTAGGGATATAAAGTCAAACAAGACACTGTCTCTGCTTTCAGAGACTGCAGTTCCAATGGGACCAGAGAATCATACAAACCTATGAGCATTACAGGTATTAGCATGGAAACCTGGGGCCTCTAGGAAGGCAGTAGTCAACTTTATGTGGGTATCAAACAAGCTTAGAGAAGAGGCCCCTTGACCCCAGCATTCCAAAGCAAGGTTAAAGTCATGGTATGTGCAAAAGGCGGGGGGCAGCAAGAGAAATGCTTTGTTACGGAGTGAAGAGGTGAGATCTACAAAGGGCCCCTTGAGGCATTTTGAAGAGTCGGGTCTTTATCCTCTGAGCAGTTGGGAAGCCCTGGAAAGTTTCCAAATGGTGGCATAACATGTTCTGAATATTGTGGCAACATTTCTTGTGCAGCAGAGTGAAGGATTTCAGGACAGTAAGCATGGAGTCCAGCAGACTAAATGAGAAGAGAAATAATGAGGTCAGACACCAATTCTACAGCAGTGGCTGGAGAGGAGGTGATATTCTGTCAGACAGGATGTGGCAGGTCAGGGATAGGATGCACTCGAATTCCTCCCAGTTTTCTGCCTGTGTGATGGAGCCATGCGGTGAGAATAGACAATGTAAGGGAGGAACAGGTTGGGAAGAAAGAAAATGAATCCATGTTGAGCATATGGTTCTTTGGGGGATGTCTGGGCTAGAATGGGAACTGGGGGAGCCATGAGGGTGCACAGCCTGGCACACAGAGAGCAGAATGGATTTCACCCCTACTTGCCCCCTTGGCCTGGTCACCATTGTGCAGTGACCAACCTGTGCAACTGCATATGGTGACCTAGAATTTACATTTTCTTAGCAGAGAGATGACATCATGAGAATGCAGGAGAACTTCCAGAGAAAGCCTGTTAGAGCCCTGCAGCACAAAGGATTGAGGGAGGGGCAAAGGAGACTGAAGGAATTGTCAGAGGTGTGAGGAATCCAGAAGGTGGCATCATGAAAGGCAAGGGAGAAAAGGTTGTCAAGGAGGGGAAGTCAGAAACAGACTGAAATATAGATCAAATTCATGGGAGGGGTGATACTTTAAATCACTGGAAAAAAACACAGATTATTTTGTAAATAGTATTGGGCCAGATGGCTAAGAGGAAGTTTCTGTGGATAAGTTAATGCAATAATGCTGTTTCTTTTATATAAACTCACCAAAGCCATCAGAGCATGCTTTGTGAGACTGTGGGATGTCCCCATCTCCCTTATTCCCCCACAGCTTGTGGATGAGTCAGTATTTTACCTCTTACTTATTAATCTTTGTACACTTTAAAATCCAGTAGTTTCATTTCTTTTATCTATGT